CGACAGGAGTCAAGCTAGTTTGGTTAGGTGTTGAGGCAGGAGTTAACCTAGGTGGAACAATAGGCCTATCAGTTTCATCATACAACTGAGTCATTGGATCTTCACTTGAGACTAAAGGGAATTTGTTAAAGGATTTTCTCAAAAATACCCTATTTCTTCTTAGTTCATTACCATTACTAGACTTAACTATATAGGATCTTGGTGTCTGGTGTTTTCTTATAATTAATCCTGGTTCCCAAACCTTTCCTGATTTTACCATAACATTATCACCTTTTTGAAAGGGAGGTAACTTATGTGATCCTCTATCATAATAAGCTTTTACAACTTTTTTGTGACTTTCTAACTTTGATTTAATCTCTTTACTGTTTACACAAATAGGTTTTAACACAGAACTAGCAGTTGGTAATGTTGTTTTGACTACCCGACCTAACATTATTTGTGCAGGTGACAGTTTTGTATCTTTTAAGGGAGTATTCCTGTACAACATTAGAGCTACATTAATGTCTTTCTTAGAGTCATTACATTTCCTCAATATATTCTTAGCTACTGAGACAAATTTTTCAGCAAGGCCATTAGACTGAGAGTGCAAAGGACTTATAGTAACCAGTTTAAAATTCCATTCATCCGCGAATTCTCTAAACACGACACTTCCAAAAGGCATGTTATCAGATACTAAAACATCTGGTGAGCCAAATCTAGCAAAAATCGGTTTAAGTACATCTATTACATTTTTTGCTGTTTTACCATTTAACAAGCACAATTCAAACCATCTACTGTATGAGTCTGCAACAACCAAATAATCATTATTACCAAATTGTAAGATATCAGCACTTATTCTTTCCCATGGCCTTGATGGAACAGGATGACTTAACATAGGTTCCTTAACATTACTTCTCCTAAACTTTTCACAAGTTTGACACTTTAGAACAAAATCCTCTATATCTGTAGACATATTAGGCCAGTACAACACTTGTCTGGCAAGAATTTTACACTTTTCTACACCTAGGTGGCTTTCATGGATTTTCTTCAACATACTCAATCTAAGTTTAGTTGGCACTATTACTTTGTCATTAAGAAACAATAAACCACCTTCATAGTTAATATCATGTTTAAGATTGAAATAAAACTGTACATTTTTAGGACACACATTTTTGAACTTGGGCCAACCCAATAAGTGATATTTTTTTAACATAGTCATAGTTTCATCTTCATCAATGGCTTTAATAAATTCTTGTTTCCTTTGTTCAGACATAGCCACATATTTACTAATAGTATGTACAACAAAAGAAAATTCTGGATCATCAGTAACAGGGTCTTTCAAATAAGACCGAGACAATGTATCGGCCATAAACATCAATATACCAGGTACATACACGAGTTTAAACTGATACTTCAAAAGTCTTAACAATAAACGTTGTAACCTAGCTGACACTTTACAAAGATCTTTTTCAACTATAGAAACTAATGGTTTGTGATCAGTCTGTACGGTAACTAGCCTACCATACGTTAACTGATGAAAACGTTCAAAGCCAAAGACAATAGCAAGTAACTCTTTCTCGATTTGAGCATAACGGGTCTCTGTATCGGTCAATGATCTTGATGCAAAGCCTATAGGGTGACCATTTTGAAGCAAGCATGCTCCGAGGCCATCTTTTGATGCGTCAACCTGAAGGGTTACTGGTTTAGAACTATTAAAAATAGCTAATGCTGGGGCAGAGACTAACTTACTCTTTAACTCACAAAATGATTTCTCATGTTCTGGGTACCATTGCCAATCAGTATCATTTTTAGTTAAGTTGCGCAAAGGTGCCGACAAAGTCGATAGGTTAGGAATATACTGTGACAAATACTTAGTCATACCTAAAAATCTTAACAATTCTTTCTTGTTTTGGGGTCTTTCCATTTCGACAATAGCTCTCACATGTTCTGGATTAGGCCTAATGCCATCACTTGAGACTAATTGACCTAAGAACTTAACCTCAGGGACTTTGTACTGGAACTTAGACAGATTAAACTTAACATTTTTTTCCCTAGCTCGGTCAAGTACTTTTTTCAAGATCATGTCATGTTCATTTTCATCTTTAGCAAAAATAATAAGATCATCAAAATATATTTCACATCCTGAAATATCCCCAAATATTTCTTTACAATGCTTTTGAAAGATCTCTGGTGCTGAGCACAGGCCATAAGGCAAAACATTAAAATAATACCTACCAAAAGGAGTATGGAAGGTAGTTAACAATGCACTACTTTCACTTAGCCTAAGATGCCAAAATCCTTCTTTCATGTCTAACACTGAAAAAACTTTTTTACCATGTAGCCTACTTAAAATTTCATCAGATTTGGGAATCAGATAGTGCTCTCTTTTGATATTTTTGTTCATTTCCCTAGGGTCAAGACATAGACGCAAATTACCATTAGGCTTTTCAACAATCACAAGATTTTGAACCCATTCAGTTGGTTCTGAAACTTTAGAGACTATACCCTGCTTATCTAGCCTATCCAAAGTGCTTTTTAACTTTTCATTTAAACTTAAAGGTATGCGCCTAGGTGGAAAGATTCTTGGTTCAGCATTTGGCTTTAGTTTGATTTCAACTTTGCCTGGAAATTTTCCTAGACCTTCAAATACATCATGGTACTGATTTACAATTTTATCTTTAGGATTTACAAAAATACTATTTACATTTACAACAGGCTTACAACTAATAGGCACTCTTTCAATTAACTTCAGTTTTACACAGGTTTCAAGTCCTAGTAAAGGAACAGAATTGACATCGGCTACTACAAATTCAACATTACTGACATTGTTCGCATTACGAGAGGAACAGTTAAGTAGTACTTTACCAATAGGTTTAACTTGAGAGTTTTGACCAAACCCTACCAATACAGTTGGTGTACTCAGCAATTTAGGCTTAAAGAGCAAACTATTAAAAGTTTTCAAAGGTAGCACATTAGCTTCCGAGCCTGAATCTAATTTAAAAGTAACCTCATCATTTTCACTTAAAACAATAGTTTCATACCAAGCCCTATTATTTAACTTGTTAGGCTTTGTTAGACCTTTTACACAATTAACATTCAAACTGTTATTCTCACTATTATCAGGTGACTTATTTTCTAGAGAGTTAACAAAGAGATCATCAGATTCACTGAAAAAGTCTAGGCCTATTGCATTTTCATCCTCAACAAGTTGATCCGCAGTCGCAGTGTCTGTTTCAACTTCATAAACTTTCTTCTTCGGTTTACCGTTAGCCTTGTTACTAAATTTAAGTCTATCTTTATTAGGGCAGCACTTAGCAAAATGATGTTTGTCCTTGCACAAAGCACAGTTCTTGTTATAGGCTGGACAGTTCCGAGCTCTATGGGTGTTTGCACACTTCTTACATAAAAAGAATTCATTGTGTTGCTTTGAGCCTACCTTAGAAGGTAACCTAGAAGTATTGTTACTAGACATAGGCCTACCTGTAACTTTGATAGACTCCACTGTATTTTGAAGTTCTCTAACCTGGTTTTGACTTGTTTCACAAGTTCGGCAGAACTCAACGGCTTTCTTGAGAGTGAGGCTTGTATCTCGCAGCAGACGTTCCTGCATCACTTTATCGCGAATCCCTAGCACCAGTCTGTCTCGAATCATATCTTCTTCGTCTTTAAATTCACAGTTGGATGCTGCTTTCTTCAGTTCTGTCACGTAAGAATCAACCGACTGACCTTCCTTCTGTCCCAACGAGTGGAACTTAAACCGTTCAAAAATTATGTTTTTTAGTGGCTGACAGTACTTATCAAATTCTCCTATAACTTCTTCGAGTTTGGGAGTTGACTCACTAAACGAGAAGGTATTATACACTTCTAGAGCCGCATCACCTATAGTGGTCAGCAATATAGCTATTTTTCGTCTCTCGGGCATCTTGTCGGATCCAAGGGCTTCCAAGTAGAGCATAAAACGTTGCTTAAATCTTTTCCAATTTTCAGATACGTTGCCACTAAGGTCCAATGCTTGTGGAGCTTGAAACGTTGCCATCGTGGTTTGAGGTTAACCTAATATTCACTAAGAAAATTCACTTGATACTAAACACTTCACTGTTCAAACTAAATATCCCAGTTCCGACACCATATTAATTCTTCTTGGGCTTCTAAATAATAACTACACAAAGTAGATTTAAAAGATTTATTTTGATAATAAAATCAACAGACTACAGAGCACAAAGCTACATTTTGGAGATGACACGGAAGTAGTAGTGAACAAGAAGAAGTCACATGAGCTTAGCTTAGAGTAGTTTTACATAGACCTACAGAGTAGTCTTACATAGGCCTACAATGGTAAATATAATATATAGCCTATGTATATAACACCATGCATCTGTTTACCATTGCCTTTGTAATGAAGAATGTTTTATGCAATAAAATACTTATGACTTATTCTATGGTATCTCAAAGTTTTTTTATTATTTTTTTTTTCAATGTTGATATTTTACATAAAAACTCATAGATTAACAGAAAAATTAAATTTTATAAAAAAATGGCCCGAGCGATTTTTATAAAAATGAAGTATGTTATAGTCCTTTGAACTCTGAACAAAATGGTACTCCCATTGCGGTGTAAAAATTACGGTCTAGAGTTTTTCTTACGTATATGTTATTTTCCTATAAAAACTCATAAATTAATTGAAAATTGGATTCTTTTTAAAAAGCCAGTTGTTTTAAAAAGTAGTATGTTACGGTCCTTATCTAAACATAATAGTGCAACCTCCATTGCTGTAAAAATAACGGTTCAAAAGCTATTGCAACTTTTGTGGTTTTGCCTATAAAATATTATAGTTTCTCCCACCCATGATAAAGTTTGTTGACAAGCTAATGAAAGAAAGAATGTGTCACTGCGATTACTGATGCCGTTTATTTATAATATAATTATGTTATAATAAATAACTTCTACGTATTCCTTAAATTAGAAATATATTTTTGAAACAATGTTATAGCTTGAGTTGACTCTATTTAATTCTGTTTCAGATATTGACGGCCTGCAAGACGAGTTGATGTGCAGTATCTGTGTTGAGCCGTATGTGGAAGTAAGTTTTGCACTAGGAATAGTGCTAATTTAATGTTTATGAGTTGTTGAAAGTACAACACTAAGTTTTAACTTTTATATTTCTTGTCTTTATATTTCAAGTACAGTAGATGCTCATCAACGTCGGTAGTGATGGATTCCTGAGCCCCATCTAAAAACAGCCATTATTATAATAGTAGTGGAAACACCGCTGAAATAGAGTCACAAGGTAGTTTCTATTTACGTATCAGGCAATAAGATGTGGCTTGCTATACAAAATTCCCCCCCCCCCCGCAGCAAACCTGTTGACTAAGCAAATTTCCATTTGTCTGAATTGATTTTCAATTGAATCTATTTAAATAACATTAGGTTTAACTATGTTAACAGAGTACCTAGGTTTTCTGCTACAATTAAACTAATAATGTGTGTTTGTTAATAAAATATTAATAGTTAAGTATAAAAATATGAATTTTCCAAGTTGGGTCAAAATACATCCATAAACAAGCAAACTACAACATTTTACAATATTCTCCATAAGAATAACATAAGAATTTTAAATTTACAATTTTTTGAATTTTCTCCGTTACCAATTACTGCACAAAAATACTTAGGTATACTAAATAATTTGGTTTTTTATGCTCTTTAAAAAGGTTAAGAGAGAAGATGGGAAATTTTATGTTTTAAGGGTTAAAAATAATTTTCACCCCATAAAACCCCGTTCCCATGGTACGATAATGCTGGTTCGCAAACTCATTCAAGTTTATCCCGCCTTACACCTTTAAACCAAATTGTATCAGGACAAAAATGACTCAAGTTATCGCATTCACAGACACATATATATATATATATGTATAAATATCCTCGCCCCAGCAAACCTGCCGACTAAGCAAATTTCCATCCGTCTGAATTGTTTTTCAGTTAAATCTATTTAAATAGCATTAGGTTTAACGAGTACCTAGGTTTGCTGCTACAAGGAAACTAATAAAGTGTGTTCTTTAGTAAAATGTTAATAGCTTAGTGTAAAATAAATAAATTTGCCAAGTTTGATCAAAATACAGTATATCCATAAACAAGCAAACTACAACATTTAAAAATATTCTCAATAAGAATAACATGGGAATTATAAATTTACAATTTTTTGAATTTTCTCCGTCACCAATAACCGTAAAAAACACTTTGATATAGGGCCTACTAAATTATTTGGTTTTTTAAGCTCTTTAAAAAGGTCTAGAGAGAAATTGAGAAATTTTGTGTTTTGGGGGTCATAAATGAGAATAACCAATTTTAATGAGAATAACCCCATAAAACCCCCCTAAAACCCAGTTCAAGTTTTTCCCGCCATAAACCTTAAAAAAAAAATTGTAATGGTGTTTTTGGCCTCTAAGGACATCAAAATGAAAAAGTAAATTGGTCCCGAGCCTAGGACTTACCATGCCACCTACGGTAATAGCCTCTTTCCTATAGGGAAATTTGCTAAAAATCCCTTCAGCTTATGCTAGGGTCTTAGGGTTTACTGTTAATACTTATCATCAACCTTAAGAATTTTTTTTGAAGTAATGTAGCTTACCAAATTTTGAGTCGAAACTCATAGATATATCCAATCAACACAACATAAGCACAAAACATAAAAGCATAGTCACAAAACATAGCACTGAGCACCAGTTGAGAATCACCAGTTGTCTGGTTATGGGAGGCGTTGGGGCTACCAGCCGCGTGTAGTACAGTCTAACCTTGATATAACGAACCTTAATATAACGAATTCCTCGATATATCGAATTTTTTTTAATCCCCTAGAATTCTCCATAAGACACAATGTATATTTTACCTCTACATAACAAAAAAACAATAACAACGACCTTGATTTAACGAATTTTTCGTGATTTCGGCTAAAATAAGACACCTCAATATAACGAATTTATCATTGTCAGAACCTCTACATTGCGAATTTAACCTCTGCATAACGAATTGTCTACGTCTTTCCCTCGATATAACAGACCCCCCACCCAATTATTGTTTTGGGAAAATCTGTTTCTTTATCAAATGAAATGGAAAGGTCACGTCATCGCTTGCGCTTACATTCGTCTGCTCCGTTTTACATCTTTGTCTGCTGTTGCTGCGCGCGCTATGTTGCAACTGAGGACTGATTTCATTCACTGAGGACTGATGACGACGTAATGTTTAGTAAGCTGTGATTGGGCGATATGGGATAGCTATGGTGAATTGTACAATTTTTGGATAAAGAGAAACCTAAGAAAGAATATAAATACAAAACCAAAGAGAAACTATAGCAACATCGTTATCTTAACATTTCTTTACGAGTGTTTTTATTATCCTTAAGTTGGCTATGATTATAAACTTTTATAATGACTTATCTAATAATTTATTGTTTTCAATACGATTTGTTTCAACTAGCAACACCAATGCTATAGTTAATGATTATTATTGACATTCCTCTGTTGTGATAAATCAGTACTGTACTGTAAATAGCCTACCGGCCTATCACGAGCAGTAGCTTACAAAACTTTCTACCGTTTTGTTTTGTTTTTTACATGGTTTATAACTACGCAATACAGTGTTTGGCTAGGTTTTAGGAGGGTTAGAACAAGTTGTGATTTTAAACTTACAGTTTTTAACTCAAGGTTGTACCAAGGTCAATGCCATTGTCATGATTGTGCAATATTCAAGATCCCTCCCCTTTATTTTGCCGGATAATTTAGGTTCTACTGTACAATGTAAACACTGTACTGTAAAGTATTGTAGCGTAGCCTATGCTACTTTAATCGTATTTTAATGAGGTCAAATCCCGACCTATATTGACCGACGCTGGTCTGAACCTCGACTTAGCGAAATTCCTGCAAACCTAACCTCTATATAACGAACCTCGTTTTAACAAAATCCTTGATATAACGAATATTCAGTTTGGTCCCTTCAGATTCGTTATACTGAGGTTAGACTGTAGTACGGTCTTGTAGTGAGTCAACGATGCTTTGGTGGTTTGTGTGTTTGTGTATGTGTGTGTGTGTAGACGTAGTATGAATGGTTCCAATTCCCAGTGACTTTTGTATTTTTGACGGTATTATTAAATCCTTTCTTAACTTAAATTTTATTTTACCTTATTTTTATACACTTTTAACTTTTTAGTTTTTCATCATAAGTTTTTAAGTTATCTACTGTGGCTCTCTAGTGAAACTGTTTTTCTCCCTTTGTAAATATGTATTAGCATGTAGTATAATGGTGTTGTTACTAGATTCTAAGATTATGGACTGATTTTAACTTGTTCCCCACGCACAGGCTTTGCCTATGTAGGGACCATCCATTTGTTTGAATATTGTAATTTTGTATACCGTTTCTATAACTATTTTTGTAGAATAAATTATTTTGATTTCTCCAGAAGGTGATTTTTTCAGGTAAGCAATAGCTAAGTCAACTCTTTCTTTTCAGTGAATTCCTAACTAGTTACTTGGCTTTCCTTTAAAATACAAACCTAAGAATTGTAATTAAATATGTCATGTTTTAGCCTACTGCTTTAAACTGTGGGCACATGTTCTGCAGTAAATGTATATCTGAATGGATGAACAAGAAGAGGTTTTGCCCACTATGCCATCGAAGTGTTTCTACTACAGTGAGGATCCACATGGATGCACTAATACAAAGGACTAAATTGATGTCCAAGAAAGCAGAAACTCGAAGAGAAGCACATCTCTCACAACAAAAGAAACGTAATTGCATTTTTTTTACAATTACTTAATCATTCTTAAAAAATAATTCAATTTTAAGGAGCTATTTGGCTTTTTTGGTAGCTGGTAAAAAAATTTAAGTTGGGCCCTTCTTAAAATTATTATTAGAAAACTACATTATGTCTCTGGATGATTGGGTACTGTAAGCATACGTCTTGTTTGCCAGGGGTGTGTGCGGGGGGAGAGCATTACCAATCTCCCACTGCAGTTAAAGTTTCGTGGCATTGGTCGGACTACAAACATTCTACCAGCGCTGTTCACGTTGTTTTCAATTTCACTAAAATTAGGTTTAACGAGTACATAGGTTTGCTGCTACAGGGAGGGTAATAAAGTGTGTTTTTTAGTAAAACATCAATAGATTTGTATAAAAGAAATAGATTTTCCAAGTTTGATCAAAATATATACATTAACAAACAAACAACAACATTTTACTTATTCTCCATAAGAATAACATGGGAATTTTAAATTTACAATTTTTTTAATTTCATCTGTAACCAATAACCAAACAAAAACATTTCAATATACTCAAATATTTGGATTTTTAAGCTCTTCAAAATGGTCTAAAGAGTAATTGGGAAATTTCCATTTTGGTGTCCATGAGAAGTTCCATTTTCCAAATAACTTATGTCTCATAATAGAAACGTAAAAAAAATATTATGTGTACCTTGTAATTTATGTACAGTATTTACTTTCAATTTCTACTTTTATTCTAGTATGCCTAAATGGTTTTATAATAGGGACTAAAAAATATATATAAGATTTTACTTGTGAAATATGTAAAAAAATCTGAGGAAATTAATTGATAATTGAGTTTATTTTATAGGAAAGTCACTTGAAACCGAGTATTCCCCGAAGAAATTATGTAGCGAAACGGAAACAAATTCAGATGCTCCAGTTGAAACAACCACCATTCCAGTCGAAACCGTTACATACTACCTTCCCAGCATGGGCCCCAGCACAACTAATCACACAGAAGGGTAAGTTGACGATAAAGTTGTTGTTTTATTATCTTAAATAATATACTGTATTTTCATTAATATAATTAATACATACATTAAATTTTATCCTATGTTGAGAAGATGAGTGGCATTTCCATTCAAATCTTTGCAGGACTTCCAATGCTCTATTTAAAATGTGAAATTACCCTTAAAACAATGAGTTGTAGTTTAAACAGTAATCTGTACACCAGCAACATTGTTGGTTTTACATGATGTAGCTGTACCTGTAGTTTGGTAGCCAACACTTGGCTTTAGACAGGGTGTTCAAAAAAGGTGGGGACATAATTTATGTAGTGATTCCATGATCAAATGTCAAGAATAAATAACCGCCATTTTATATTTATTATATATACAATTTTATCTTAATAATGTTTTAAACGATCTTTATGAAACTTGGTATGTATGTAAAGGTAAAAGAGACCTTTGTTAGAAAAAAATCATCTTGGTTCAACTTAAAACTTCAAAATGGCAGCCATTTTAATTCTGTAAACTTAAACTACACAAAAATGGCAGATTTTATGAAAAAATGTCATGAACACTTTTATTTAGCATTTCCAATTCCCTACCTATCAATTGATATCAAGTTAAAAACAATCATATTAGAAATAGCAGAAGGTTTGCCCCATTTTACAACTAAAAATCTAAATTTTAATTTGAATCAAGGTGATTTTTTGTCTAACATTGGTCTCTTCTACCTTAACTTACATACCAAGATTCTTAAAGATCGGTTGAAAACATGCAAAGATAACAATGATTATGTAAAAAATACTAAATGGCGGATATCTGGTTAATAAAGTTATAAAAAAAAAATATATATTCTTGATTTTCTCTTTGTTTTGACCAAAGTAATCACTATATAAATTATGTCCCCACCTTTTTTGAACACCTTGTATAAGGACAAGAAGTCTACTTAAGAAACAAATTATACATACCAAGGTGCATAGTTTAAGTTGAAGGACACAGTAGAATAAACCAGATGTTACATATTAAGATTACCTGGTTTTTAAATTGGATCATGTTTTGAACCACCTCCCCACCTCAGTAAGTATGGCTGGGGGTTGGGTACAGTTTTGAACCACCAAAATGTGTTTCAAATTTTTCCCAGTATCCATATCATTAACCCTAGAATGCCCGTGTGTAGTAAATTTACTCCAGACACATTTTTCATTTGAAATAAAGTATGTAAAAAGGCAAGATGACGAACCTTCATTTACGACTCGATCTTGAAGTCTACGTTGATATAGGGTCAGTTTTATAAAGCTAGCGCCATGGTGGAAGTAAATAAGGTGTGCTACTGCGCATCGTAGCCGGCTGCAGGCGGTGCGGGGGAGGGGTATCGTGACGTCACCTTGGGGGCAAACATGCCTCGCGACCATATAGAACAGTGACGCCGCTCTAATAAAATTGTAATTTTTAATAGTAAGAACCGATAAAAAATGCTGAAACTTTGCAAAGTCTTGGACTATTAACATAGGATGCTTATGATTTAAATTTTATTAATTTATTTGAATTAAAAACCATTCAACCACCGATCAAACTTCAAACTTTTTCATACTAACACAAAAAAGTTAGTCGGCTACCAAATCACGTATTATTTGGTCAGGTTTATGAGACCTGTGGGAATGTTTTAGGGAAAGGTTCTAATTTAACTGTAGTATCGGTTGGATTTCGATAAAAGAATTACTTTTTTAGCTACGAAGAATTATATCAAGCAGCAACGGAGCGCGCGCTCAGCCGATGTCACCGTTTATTGGATAATAAGGCCACGCATTTATTATCCAAAACACTGTAGCTACATGTTATAAGAATATATTTTGTTTTCTACATTTTAAATTAAATATGTAATATTAACATGTGACAGATATAACAAGTTTTACATTAAAATGCGTTGCAACGTCTTCGTTTTTATACAAATTAACTCTCTTTGATAACAGTTGCCATAAAATTTGTAGGATCGGAAATGAATATCATTTCCGTAACCAAAAACATAGTTTATTACATTTTGCAATCTTATAAAAATATTTACGACCTGAAAGTAAACATCTAAAAAATTAAACATTTCATCACCTCTGGATTTTTCTAAACTTGTTTAAGTTTCTTTAGAAATTTTCTTTTTTCGCCAATAGCAAAATTGCATTGTCTTAGCCTCCGGTTAATTTGTTGAGGAAAACTAAAATATCGCACGTTTGGTTGCGTTTTCTTATTTTTCGAACTATTACAACAACCGTACACTGCACAATGGGGCATTTTTGTAGAAAGATGCGTGTGCCCTATGGAAAACTGACATCTACTGCAACTCGCGGTGAACACAGAAACGAAAACAAAACAAACAACACGTGATTATACCCGCACACACCCCCGCACCAGAGTCAAAGTTGCGACATAGATAACAACCCCAGTGAAATAGGATCCTAGCTGTCGAATTAAACTGGAATATCACATTTTATTATCATGGTATTGCAAGAGTGAAACAATTTTATATTTTAACCTGATTATAAATACAATGTTTAATCACCAACTTATTTTTTAACAGAGTACATATTATGTTATATACTTTGTTAAATACATTCCTTTGCCTTAAAGATAATTTATTATTTAAACCACTATTTGCAAACTTTGGTTTTAACTAATCAACGATTTGCAATACTTTAAATGCAATTTGGCTACGTTAACCCTATTCACCAAGGAGACAATATTATATATTCTCTGTGAACTATTACGAAATAACCCATATTCAAACGGGGAAAAACACACTGAAGTCAACAGAACAACAATTTTTCACATAAAAATATAAATACATGAATAAAAATATCAATGGTACTATATTCATGAAACTACATTATTTGTTGGATGGCAATGTGTGATTAATATTTGGCAACTGACTCGACTCGCAGCACGCGCTCCGATCACGCGCTCATATAACTTAGCATATCTCAGGAAATAACGCCTCTAACGGTATATAGTTTGAAGGAAAGTTAAATTTGGATCTTTATCTAAAACTTTCCCGCTGGTCAAATGCTTCTAACCAAATAGTACGTGATTTGGTAGCCGACTAACTTTTACATATTTAGTTTTAAGAAAGGCCAAGTATAAAGAGTGATTTCACACTTTAGTTTTTAACAATTACAAACTATTTTTTCACAACACGCATCGTCCACTTATAATTGATGTCCATGTCAAGTTTCATAATTTTTCCTCAATTCTAACAGTCCAAAATGTTGATGTTAATAGAGCAGTGTCACGCTGAGCTATATACGCGCGCGAAGCGGTTTGCCCCCAAGGTGACATCACGTCGCGATGCGCAGAACGGTCTCAAACTCGTCCGGCTGAGTAGCACACCTTATTTACTTCCACCATGGCTAGCGCTTCACACTAACAGGAAACTTTTCACGCCATGCGAGCATTGGCATTAGTTAACATGTTATGTCTGAAGTGGAAAATAGTGTATTATTGAGATTTAATATAGCGTTTGTATGCTACTTTTATTATTTTAGTGAATTTCCCTATAGGGAAGTGGCTATTACCGCTGGTGGCAGGGTAAGACCTAGACCCTGGACCAATATACTTTTTCATTCTGATGCCCCCTGAGGTCAAAAACACTATTCGTTGAATATTTTATATGTGTTTTGTGTGTGTGTGTGTCCCACGAAGAGGTTTAAACGTTTGATTTAATATTACTTGCCCATTTATGCATCAGACATTTTAAAACTTAACACTATTTATAAAGTAGATTGTAAAGATATTCTGGGGAAATTTCAACCCCCGAACTCTTGTAGAAACAAAATGGTGGCATATTGGAAAATGATACCTAAAAACATTTTAAATGGTTTCAAACAAATCAGATAATAACTCAAGAAAGTGATTTTTATAGGAAGAATATTGGTAATCACTTCAATATGCCACCATTTTGTTTCTAAAAGGGTTAGGGAGCTGAAATTTTCCTAGAATATTTTTAAACCCTACTTTATAAAATGTGAAAAGTTTGAAAATGCTGGGTGTACAAATGGGCAAGAAATATAATTTAGAACGTTTAAACCTCTTCGTGGGACACTCTGTATATAACTTTTTTTAAGAAACAGTGCTAATTTTTGTTTAATAGATAAAATTACAATTTTAAGTAAATATTATTTTCTTAATATTCTTTATTACCGAACAGGAATGATTGTAATCAACCGGGAACTTCTAGACAACCACCTCCCATTGCTGTGGTCAATCCCTCCAACGTTCCAGTGGCTCAAATTCCTATGCCAGCCGCCCCAAGGGTGCAAACTAATACCTCCGGTGAGGCTGACACAGTCATTGACCTGACTGACTTGTAGCAAGGCTTAGCGTTACCTCATCCCACCAAAGAATTTATAGTTGTTCCATCAATTATGTGATACTGTTGATTGGTTAATTTTTGTATTGTTTTTAATTGATTTAAGGATGTTAATTAGAAAATGAGATTTTAACTTGTTAACTTGTTTAATTAATGTGTTTTGTATTTTTGTAACAGAGAGGTAATACTTTTAGGCAGTGCCATATGTATAAGCAATGTAACTACTGATTTTGAGGATTAAATTTCTGTTTTTAGTTTTCTATTTTGTTTTGACTCTTTTGGTAGAGTCTCAATTATTTATCAATTATGTTTTACTGTTGATTGGTTAATTTTTTAATTGTTTTCAATTGATTTAAGGATGTAAATTTTAAAAAGAGATTCCAACTATATTACACATTTGAAGTACCGGTAATGTGTTTTGTATTTTTGTAACAGAGAGGTAATACTTTTAGGCAGTGCCATATGTTATAAGCAATGTAATTCTACTGATTTTTAGGATTAAATATCTGTTTAATTTTCTATTTTGTTTTGAATTTCTTGTTAGAGTCTCGAATACTGACTTACGTTATGCTTCCTTTAGACAATCTCAAGCTTTTACCTTGTGACATGGTTGAACACCATCACGTGGGGTAACAAAACCTTTTTCTACACCTGTAATTTCCTATAGTTTTCACTTGCTGTATTTGACCATGGGTAAAGTAGGGGTTTTACCTGTATTATCCTATTATTTTTATTATTTAAAAAAACCTGTATTTTACCATGGGTTCAGAATACCAGTTTGCCAACGCATACATAGTCCGAACTGAGATATGTGACTGAATGTACGTGCGTCATCGCTTTATCTTATATTTAACTGTTTCAATAGTGGGATTTTTACTTTGTGAATTATTTTTTTAATTGTGATAATGGCTTCAAATCAAAAACAGTTTTGAGTTTAATGTAAAGTAACTTGTACAAATATTATACCTGAATTTTAAAAACTTTCTATGTTTTAATAAGCATTTTTCCACATAGTCTATCTTGCTACAACTTGTTAAGGTTGTAATCGAGACTCTACTGTAGTGTGTAAGTTAGTTAAGATGTAATAGATTTTTTTTAGTTGACAATACTGTAGAGTCTTGTCTTTTCAATTAAATGTAGCCTACTTATAGATACAAAATTATTTTCTCTGTCAAACTAACTCAACAATTTGTGAACCAGAGGTTGTCAAGTTTTGGGGCTTGTCAATTTACTGGTGAGGAAGCTAGGGTTTACCTTACAATTATTAAAATACATTTGCAATTTCGTAAGCTATTCATTGTGACCCTTGGTTGCAATATATTATTGGTAAAATAAAATAATTACCTTATCCAACCACAGTTGTTTGTATGACGACTAGTTTCGTTCCTTAGAACTTTGTCAGGTCATTTGTATGCAACCACTTCATCAATGTATTAATAGTTAAACAGTCACAATAGTTAAAAGTTGTCATGTTGAAAAACATAATTAAAATGGAATAAAAATTATAAACTAATTAAAATTGTACAGGTTAGCCAGCACTGTCTGATCACTGCCATTGATTAAATAAAATGTGAGTTTATAAAACTGAGCTTTATTTAGTCAGTGACAGTGATAAAACAGTGCTTGCTAACCTGTACAGTTTTAATCAGTTTATCATTTTTATTCCATTTTAATTATTTTTTCCAACATGCAAACTTTTAATTATTGTGACTGTGGCAGTCTTTTAGAGATTCTATGGAAACACCACAATGTATTAATACATTGATGATGTGGTTGCTTACTAATGACCTGACGAAATTCTAAGGAATGAAACTAGTCGTCATACAAACAACTGTAGTTGTATAAGGTAATTATTCTTTTTTATCAATATTTTTTTAAGATATCATGTATATCATGTAAATAAAGTTATATAAAAATGATACTGTGTTGATGGTTATTTTCTTTTCCTAGGAAAAATGATTATTGTGTTAAACAACCAAAAAATAATTTATTTTTAGATTAAAATACTCACTACTATAAATATATATCCTGTTAACTCAATTCTGATAATGTATAGATTATCGCAAGTAGGAGGGGATGAGAGAATGGCTCTTAACACCACTATACAGTGGTATTAAATTAATTCAACAGCAATTAATTGTTGAATTAACTATATACAGAAACAAAAGCGCTGGTTGGGGGAGAACTCTTAAGTGCATGCACATCCCTCCCGCCGCTCTAATTAACACTATCTACAACTTTAGCTCTCGATTATCCAAGATAATACAATTTTTATGCTTAATTAAAATGGTACCGATAATAAAGGTTCAAATAAACAGGGTACAGTATTGAGTTTTGTTAACATGAACCTCATGAAGGTTAGTAAAAGGAGCATTTGACATACAATTAACCATCACAAACACCAAATAAACCAACTTTTTTAAACTACAGGGTGGGGCAAAATGGATTGAGCAGTGTCACTCAGCAGCTCTGTAGGTGGTAGGCGGCCACATTTGGCCTTGTCATTGGTTTACTTACCATTATAATAGCATTGACTATATAACACTACTAGATTGAAAGCCCCATGCATTTGGTTGTGAACAAGCAATCACCACACTCTGGCGTATATATAAATATACCAATAAAGTAAACAATTTTAAACCAGCAGCATACGATAAAATATCACAATAATCACACATCTTAAAATTTGTCACCTTAATTTTCAACATCTACCGAGCAGAATAGAACCTTTAGAAATTACTATTCAAGAAATAGACCCAGATATAATAGTAATATGTGAACACAAAATGAAAAGTCATGAATTGGAGCTTCTCACCATAACTGGATACAATATTAACATTTTTTATTCACTTAGTTTAAATTCTGGAGGTGGAGTCATAATACTATCAAAAACAAATTTAAAGGCAAAAAATTGCAAAATAAAAGTTTGAATTTACCATCAATGAATCAGTTAAAATCTGAAAACGAATTTGAATGCTGTTTGATAGAATTTAATGTGATTCATTTTCTTTTATACTAGCTGGTATATATCGCCTTCCTATATCTGATGGTAATATCTTTTTGACAAAACTAAATGCATCCCTGGAAATCCTCTCAAAAACTTACTCTAATGTAATTATGGCAGGAGACGTTAACATAAATGTTCTAAACCCAAACCGTAATGAGTTTAAACTACTTAATGATATTCTTGGCTCACATAATTTTGAATTTTTAGTAAGCTGTATTGATAACGTTTTCATTAATTTTTATCCCAACAGCATGCAAATTAGTGGTTTAAACACACAAATTTCTGATCACGATGCTTTTATGTTATAAGGAAGAGGTTAAGGATTAGATAACTCACCTGATTAGACATATACAGCTATTTGGAGTACAGATTCGCATAAATTTTGTGCTCCAACCATCTGCACCTTTTTAATCAGGTGAGTTAGGGGCCATCCACATTATAACTTTACGCTTAAAGGTGGGGGGAGGGGTTCGGCTTAGTGTTATGCATATTTTTGTGGAGGGGGATGGGGTTTTCAAGATCATTACGGTAACACACTAAGAATATACAGGGTGTCCCGTAAGTAAGTACAAATAATTCAGAAATAGTATTATCGAGTCAAATAAAACAAAAATCAAGAATAACATTTTTTCCAAAGATGTCTCCTTAATGAGATATCCGCCATTTTGTTTTTTTTTTATTTTAAATTGACTTCTCATAAACTATTTAAAATATCTTAACAAAACTTGGTACTATACAGTTGTATCAAGTCACAAAATATGTTCATGAAAAAATAAATCTCTGATCTTCCCTGGGTGTTGTACAATTTAGAGTTCATGAAAGAATGGATTCAGTCACCCTGGGTTGAATACAATGGCAAATAAGATAAATCTGAATTTTGTACTGTTAAATAGCTATAATGTAAATTTTGTTCTCAAGTGCTACTGCTACAGTAATGATACTTAAAACGAGAATTTAGAAAACATGAAAAGTGTTTTGTATACGATAACAATTGCTAATTTTATAAAAAATAATGTTTTATTGTAAACGTTAATCTGTCTAGATATTGTGTTCTTATAAACTGTTAAGTTTGTTATAAAATGTTTTTTGTTGATAACTTTAAAACTAATAAAAAAAATTTACTGAAAGATAAAATTTCATAGACTTCAGATTTCATACCACACAACCTTGTTTAAGAAAATTTCTTGCAGGGGTGAGAGGAGGGATCTAGGGTCGTGTTATGCAGCCTCACAGAGAGAGAGGGAGGGGTTTGAAAATGGCAAAAATCACAAAAGATACTTTACTTATGTACTGTAACTTTCAAACTAATGGGACATGTGTACCATTTTGTTAAAGGCACATTTTCCATAGCTCCGGGGTATACGCACCCCACTGCGGCATTCAATGCACTTTTAGACCGCACTGCAGACAAAGATTTACTAGTGTTTTCCTAGACTTCACGGGGTGCAGGCTTTAGATTCTCTCAGTATCTCCTTTCTATTCCGTTGCGGACTGCGATGTAGACTCCTCTTCTAGGTAGAATGAGTCAGCGTGGCCTGCAGTCTGAACCCCGCTGGCGGGGTGCGGCATACATCGAAGTATATTAATATACATTGATGGCGGCTTATGATTCTTAGGAAAACACTGTATACCTAATAATTACAATAGGAATTTGTGGCACAGAGGTTTTGCTGGATAAACATATTTGGTCATCAATATTGCAGTCAATAATTTTAATTTAAGAACCCCTTATTCTAAAATCAAGATATTTCCAAATAAACTCAAATTTCCAGAAAGATATAAACCTAAGTAATTCTTATAAAGCAAAAAAGGCAAAAATGATATTAAGAGTCAATTTAACTGTCTCTAAAACTACCAAGTAACTAAGACTACAAAAACTATCTAACTAAAAACTACAAAGTACAATCTTATTTAATTCTATAGACTAACAGTTTAAAGGGTGTATGGCCAGTGTGTATTATATTATGGCAGGTTGTCCAGGCCGAGGTGGCAACTTGTCGCCTATGTGCGTAGGTGGCGGGTAGAAGCCATCGTACATGGAGCTTCACGAAAACCCACCACCTCTGATAAAAACTGGATGTGGCGGGTTTCGTAATTCGTATGGTGTTAATATAGTTCTATGATGGAGGCACGTTGTCGTGGTGACGCCTAGACGGTAGTCCGTGCACGACAACCTGTCACCTCGGATAAATGTGTGGTGGCGGGTGCACAATTTTTATTTCAGCTGCAGTTTTTTAATACGGACAAAATGAGAAATTATAAAAAAATGTTAATTATAAAACTAAGAATAAATATAAGATTAATTTTTTTATTATAAAATTTAAACTGTCATAACCCAACCTAACTAGCCAAACTTGTTGATAATGAAAAAATCGAATGAAGGTTTACTAATAGAAAAAATAGTTCTATTCTAAATGTTTTAATTCTAAAATTAAACTGTCATAACCTAACCAAACTTGCTGATAATGCAAAAAGCTTAGACTAAAAGTTAGTCTCAACATTGGGCTCAGCCAATAGAATGCTTTTATTTTGTAACTGCAGCTGAAATAAATACTGTGCCTGGCACCTAGACGGGTAAGTCGTAGTGCTGCCCCTATTCTACTACTTGAATCAATGTAATCCTCAAACATTGAACTATCGATTATATAATCTCTCATCATCACTTCTTATGCGAATGCAGATGCTTGCTATAGTCACAAGTGCTCTTGCTCAGCTCCAGCTACGGTTCCTGCCATTTATTTATTCATCGATTTGTAATACCTCCTGGATTGCGTGTTCAGGTTAATAGTATGTGATAACGTGAATATATACATATTATTATTACTGTTTTTAGCGAATTTCCCTATAGGAAAGTAGTTATAACCGTAGTTGGCACGGTGAGACCTAGGCCCGGGACCGACTTACTTTTTCATTTTGATGTCCCCAGAGGCCAAAAACACCATTTGTTCATATATATATATATATATATATATGTAATTTATATATACGGTATGTACAAATTTATAAAACTTATTTAAGTGTCCGTGAATGCTATAATTCGAGGTATTTTTGTCCGATTTTGATGAAATTTGGTTTAAAGGTGTAAGGCGGGATAAACTTGAATGAGTTCACGAACCAGCAGAATCACCATGGGAACAAGGGTTTATGGGGTAATAATTGGGTTTTCTCATTTTTGACCCTCAAAACACTAATTTTTTCAATTTCTCTCTAGACATTTTTAAAGAGCTTAAAAAAATAATTTAGTATACCAAAAGTGTTTTTGTTCAATTATTGGCTACGGTGAAATTTCAAAAAATTGTAAATTTAAAATTCCCATGTTATTTTAATGGTGAATATTGTAAAATTTTGTAGTTTGCATGTTTATGGATATATTTTGAACAAACTTGGAAAATTTATTTATTTTATACTAAGCTATTAATATTTTACTAAGAACCACACTTTATTAGTTTCCTTGTAACAGCAAACCTAGATACTCGTTAAACCTAATGTGATTTAAATACATTTAATTGAAAATCAATTCAGACAAATAAAAATTCGCTTAGTCGGTAGGTCTGCTGTGGCAGGGGTATTTTATGTAATGACAATGACTTAGTTTACCTACTCTATGCTAAAAAGACTATTGTGCGTGTGCAGGCATTGACTATACAGTATAACACTATAGCTTATATAGCCTAGTGTTGTTATACAGTATAGTCAATGGTGCAGATCCAGGCTCACAGCTGGTCTGCAGTTCAGTCTCAGCTCAGTACTTTGCCTTGCCTAGCGGACTGACAGTGGTCGAGTGGTCGCCGCCCGCCGGTCGGTCTGCTGTCTGCTAGGCTAGCCACTCACTAGCCAGTCAACAACAGTCACTAGTCAGTACTGTGTGTGTAGATTATCCGTGTTGGTGTTGCTGTTGCTACGACGGACTCTGTAACCTAAGCTAGCTTCTGTTGATAAAATATAATGTGATTTAAATGTCATTGTCCCCCTCTTTCAAGTAATTGTAACCACTTAAGATAATGGACGTTTAAACTCTTGTTTCAGACACACAAGCCTAGGTGCAGGAGGCGATGTGTTTATTTCATTGTTATTGATATTATTGGTTCTTTGTGTTTAGGTTATGTGACATTTTAAAACATCAATGTGTTTTGGAAACGGTTGGTTACGATTTATTCGTTCAAAAACATCTGAAAAACTTGAATTATGCTTTTACAAGTGAGTACTTTACTTTTAAGTTTCTACATAGGCCTATTAGGGGTAAAGTTTCTTAACTGGGCTAGGCCTATGCTAATATTGATTGAAAATATCAATTAATAATCGATATTATAAAATGAAACTGTCATAACCTAACCTAACTAACCATCTTGCTGATGACTAGAAAATCGAATGAAGATTTAACTTACTAATCAAATCGACAGTTTCAATAAATATTAAAACTTATCGTAGCCCAGTTCAGAAACTTTGCCCCCTAGGCCTATTAGTTTTCTTTTAATTTGTGAAGTTAAAATTATTGGTAATAATTCGGCGGTAAGGCTATTTGTACACACACCGATTTTGGACAGTCAGTCAATATTTTATCGGTCCATGGTGCTTGCACACATATCGTATTTTTATCAGTGAAACGATCAGTCTTTGTTGTTGTGTTGAGGACGAGACAAAATTATTGAATACTTAATCCTAAAAGAGTTGTTATGTGATTACTGTATCGACGTATTAAGCGCTCATCCAATTATTCACAGAGAAAAAACGGGAACATTCCACACAATTTTTGAAGAACTAAGGCTTGATAGCTGTAAAGTTTTCAACTAGAGGCTAACTTATTTCAGAATGTCAATAGCATCCTTATTTATAAAGTCACCCATTTAAAACGTTATAAACACACACTACCAAAACTAATTAAAAATTTTAGAAGAACAGTTGCCTGAAATGGTGGATGGTGTAGCGGAACTGCCGATACGATCGGTAAACAAACAATGTGTGTGCAAGCTTGTATTTAGTTACATACACCACTGCGTCGCCGCCACATCCCCGGCACTGGCGGTATGCATTGGCGGTGGCCGGCTGCTCATCGGCATTTTACCGGAGCTGATCAGCGGTCGGCGTGTGTGCAAGGTCCCATTCCCGCCTTCAAAATTGACCTAAAAACCTTCATAATAGACTTCCTATTGCGTTAAAAACAGAAAATAACATCAATAAATTTAAGAAGATGTTGAAAAATTACCTTTTTCACAAACCACTGTACTCGTTTGAGGATTTTTTTAAACTTTTAGTCATAGTCGTAGTATTAAGTTTTGATTTGACACTATTCTCATGTGCTATGTGTGCATATTGTGAATAATGATGATTTGACTTTGACTTTGGTCAGCATACATATGCAAAGCCGACGTTCATCGTTAGATGACAATAGTGTATGAACCTGATGCAATGATAGTGAAGAAAGTGTAGAAATAGGGTAGGAAGCTTAAAAATGGACATGAAAATGTTTATTTAGGATGGAATTGTATTTTAGGTGGGTTCCCAGACTTCTCACATAAGACAACTTTTATTTATTTATTATTTCCCAACGGATTGCACCATTTCACAATATATATATGTGTACAATATGTAAACAGATGGCATTTACAATGATTGAGGATTAGACATGCAAGGTAGGTTTACAAAACTAAACAAGTAATAACAAAGTAATAAACTAGGTGAGTAATAAAAATAAATTAACTTTGCAAGCTATTAACTATTAACTACTAAATTAACTTAGGAAAAAGGATTTCATGGCCTTTTCTGAAACACTGCACTTTACTCACACTCACTGCATTAGGGCTGCCTTCAGTAATCTGGTGATGAATTTCAGCATCGGATATGTTTCTTGTAATAAAAAAATGTTGATCACTAACCTTACCTCAAAGGCAGCGGGACATTTGATTGCTTAACATTTTTTTAAACACACAGTGAAGCGTTCATGACAGATACAGAGCTGAAATTTTTGTCATTCTATTCAAAAATGGTGCCAGTAAATGCTGATGAGTCTCATTGAGACGTACATGCGAACTTACTTACTTGAATACTTGAATACTTGAAGTCTGTGTCGTTGACCGATAATATCGGTATGACTGCGTCATATTTACTTAATACTAAGAAAACTATTTACACACTATTTACACTGTGGCAATGGCCAAAAAGTGGCTCGTTGCCTAGCTCTTCAAGGCTGTAAAGAGGCCTATTTACCAGCCTGTCACGTAGGGCCGTCTTAAAATCGTCTAGGTCCAGGTCGCGTATATGCACCGGCAAGGAATTAAAAAACCTTATCGCAGACCTAGGATAGCTCTTCAGTGAGCGGGCTAGGCGGCATCTCGGCAAATCAATGTCACAAGCTTGACGGGTATGGTGACTATGAATATTGTCTCTCACAACAAAATGGTGGATATTAACCTTCAGCAGGATCAAGACATTGAGGACATACTGGCTATAAACAGTCAACACACCCAGCTCCAGGAAGATGGGACGACAGTGCGCTTTGTAGCCAGAAGATGTTATTATCCTCAGCGCCTTTTTCTGTAGCAGAAGTAATTCCTGTGTCCATGGAGAATGGCCCCACAAAACCAGGCCATACGTGAGGTGACTGTGAAACAGCGCATGATACACCGCTAGCAAATACGGTCTGGTAATGGTGGTTCTAAGCTTCCTTAAAAGGTGGAGAACTCTTGAGAGCTTTACACATACCTTTTCAATATGGTGGTGCCAACTTAGCTTTGAATCCATCCAGAACCCAAGCAGCTTCACGCTGTTTTCCTCAAGACCGATCTTCAAGGAACATAAAAGGATCTGAGTCTTCTCCTCGTTGATCTTAAGCTTGTTGGCTATAAACCAGTCCTTGGCCAGCCTCAGGGTGTTGTCTGCCTCCTCCAGCAGCGGGTCGATGTTCTTCCCCTTTGTGACCAAGGTGGTATCATCTGCAAAAAGGAGGGCATGGCTGGTTGTAGCAAGGTCATTAATCATTATTGTGAAGAGAAGAGGGCCCAGGACCGATCCCTGCGGAACTCCATGGGGAAGAGAGCCTATAGCAGAAGAAGCACCCATAATTGTTACTATTTGTTTGCGGTTGCCAAGGTAGTCCGCAAGAGAGCAGAAAACTGCGCCACCGATACCATATTTTCTCAGCTTGGCCAGAAGGATGTCATGTGACACAACATCGAAAGCCTTGCTGAGGTCACAAAGGCTGAGGTGGACCGATTCATTTTCCTCAAAGGCCTGGGATATGGTGTCGACCAGGCTCAGGAGTGCGGAGGTGGTAGATCGACCACTACGAAAGCCATGCTGTGAGTCCACCAGTAGGCCATTATTTTCAAAGTATGAGAGGAGTTGTCTCTTCATCACAGTCTCCATCACCTTAGAAAAGATAGGGAGGATAGAAATGGGGCGAAAATTTTCCATCAGTGTAGGGTTCCCTTTCTTGAAGATGGGCACAGTACGGGCCTTCTTTAGAGAGTCCGGAAAAAATCCATGAGCCAGGCACAAGTTGACCAGGTGCGTGAGAGGAACGGCCACGAGATCTGCAACAGCCCTGAGAACATGTGTAGAAAGGCCATAGACATCTTGGCTCTTGGAGTCTTTGAAATTCTTAATCATTTGGGATATCTCTCTTACACTCACCCTATTCCAGCAGGTAAATGAATGGACGGAGGAGTAGTCCGGCACAGAATCCAGAGGATCCGTCTGCAACACAGGTAGATCAGAGATGATGTTTCCAGCCACACTTGTAAAATATTCATTTAACTCATCAGGGGATGCTTGGATTTTAGGCCCGGGACCTGGCGCTCTTTCTTTATTGATAATGTCCCACGCAGCTTTACATGGGTTAGGGGCACTAAGGATGGATTCTGCATTAAAGGATTTCTTGGCCACATTAACTCTAACCCTATAGTTCCTCTTGATCTCCAAATAAAGAGAATAGAGCTGCCCTTTCCTACACATATCACTGGAGCCCTTATACAGGTCATGAACAAAAGCCATGTAATTTCTCATCCTCCTCAGTTCAGGGGTGTACCAACAATTGGCTGATTTGTTATGCCTTGAACCAGAGCCAACGGAACAGACTTTACTCTTGGGGTTATATAATTTGGCTGGAAAAACATGATCAAATTCATCAAAAAATATACTAGAGAAAAGCTCAAAAGCAAGTTTAGGCTCGGTCAATGTGTACAGGGTACTCCAATCTACATTAGAGAGCTCATACCTAAACAGAGGCAAATTTTCCATACAGATGGGTCGCTTTATGATAGAGTAGTCCTTAAGCCAAGAAGGGTTAGAATTAAGGCTTACCTCAGAGCAATTCACACTCAGGATCACAGCACCATCGTGATCGGCCACGAGCGATGGAACAACCTCAGCTTTCACCTTCCAAGAGTCGAAGTTTGACGCCACAGAATCAAGACACGCCGTCCCTCTTGTTGGTTGACGGGATGCCACATACAGTCCGTAGGATCTGAGTAGGTTTACAAAGATTGACTCCTCAGTAGACGGACACTCAAGATGGATATTAAAATCCCCGCACAAAATCAGGTTTCTTGGATTGAGGCCCGAGACATGAGTCAGGCATTGGTCCAGTTGGTCAATAAAGCTATTGAAATTCCCGTTAGGGGATCTGTAGACACACAATAATATGGTACCAGTATTTTCAATCAGAATAGCTGCTACTTCAAAGTCAAGTTCTAGACAAAAGGTATCGAGGTCAATTTTCCTGCATTCATAGTTTGACTTGGCAAATATGGCAGTACCTCCATTTTTATGAATTTTACGACAGTAAATGTTAGCAAGTTTTAAGTCAAGCAGATTCTTATAACAGTCACTCTCATCCGATGTTAACCAATGTTCCGTTAAACAAAGAAAGTCAGACTTAACTTCATGTAAAAATATAGACAGTGTTTCACTTTTGTTCCTTAAACATTGAACATTTAACGCAGCTACTTTAAAATTAGTGGAATGGGACAGCTCTGTATTCAACACAATATTATTTTCACTAAGAGGCCTAGGCCTACTATTACAAGTCTGGGGGTCTGATTCGAGGGGACTACAACTATCACTATCAGTCTCTAGCCTAGGTCCATCTTTTAGGTTAGGTAACACAAGGTTTGCTATTTTACCACTGACCTGTAAATAGTCCTCCCTAAAAAAGAGTGGGGTAGTACAGAACTTCGTTTTTTGGGAATGAAATTTCTTAC